ACATTCTAATTTATTGAGATGCACCTGTATATATATATATATATATTACTTTTTTTAACAGTGCAAACATGTTTTGTAACATTGTTGTAGCTCTTATAAATATATTTATAAAACATATATATATATATAACATATATGTACAGAGTCGTGGTCAGAATTATTGACACCCTTGTTAATATGGTCAAAGAAGGCTGTGAAAATAAATCTGCATTGTTAATCATTATGATCTTTTATTTAAAAAAATTCACAAATATCTACCATTTCATTGAACTAAAACATTTGAAAATGGGGGAAAATCTCATTATGAAAATTTTTTTTTTCTCAAATACACGGACACAATTATTGGTACCCCTAGAAATTCTTATGAGTAAAATATCTGTGAAGTATATTCCCAGGTTGGCTCTCTCAACGGTGGAGTGTGTGATCCGCTCACAGACGTGTCTCTCGGGCTGATCGCGGGTCAGTGTCGCTGTAAGCCTAATGTGGAGGGTGAGCGCTGTGACCAGTGCAAACAGGGCCATTACGGACTCAGCGACGACCCTCTGGGATGCCAGCGTAAGTCCATGCCTTACACAATATAGCCAACCCAAATCATTCATCAATTCATGTGAAAATGGTTTTGAAAGATCTCAAATAAAAGTTGCTTTTGTTTTGTTGTTACCCAGCATGCACATGCAATGCTTTGGGGACGGTTCCAGGTGGAAGCCCATGCGATACAGACTCAGGAAACTGCTACTGTAAACGTCTGGTTACCGGAAGGAATTGTGACCAGTGTCTGGTGTGTGTTCGGCTTGCATTATGAGTTCATTCATATTTCTTTGTGCAATAACACCATAAATGATTTTAAAAACATAACATTTTACTTCAATTATATTCACTGCAAAAGCCATTTTTCTTGTGTGATATTGCTTACATTTTTATTCAATTAAATGATTAAATGTGCATTAAATTATTATTATTATTTTTTACATTTATTACAATTATATTTTCAATTTATTTATTTATAAAGATTTCTAGCATTCAGATATTCCAAAATGTGGTCATTTGCCTTTAAGAACTGCTGTTCACATTTTGCTTTTTGTGAGGTCTGTCATAAACACTGTGGTGTTTAAATAGTCTTTTAACTAGTCTCTCTCTCATAGCCTCAGCACTGGGGTCTCAGTAACGACATGGATGGCTGCAGACCATGTGACTGTGATCATGGTGGCGCAATCAACAACAAGTGAGTAAAACTACTCTATTCTGCCTGAAGTGCCTGAATCTCTCATTCAAATACAGTTTTTAATCACTATTATCATAGTTTATAGGGATAAGGATTTGACCAATCATAGGGACCCATGATTTCCGCGGAAAACGCAGACGGTATCGCGGAATCCGATCGTAAAAATGAAATTTTCTGTATAACGCGGAATGTCATGGAATTTGCCTAATTTTTGATGAATAAATCAAAAGTAGGTCAGTACAATTAAATCAAAACGTGATATGGACTAGTGTATGTGAATATTAAGCCGCAAAAATACTATTTAAATAAGAAGTCTGTGTTCTTCATCTCTGTGTGTTTGAGTGGCGCAGACGAATGGTTTCATTTACTACACACATACTGAAGCGCGCGTGATGCTTGCGGTGATTTCAGCCTCTGCAGTCTCAATATCTGAGTACATGAACACATAAACATAATCTCTAGAGCTGCTCTGAGAGTCACTTCATGAACATTTTACCATTTCTTTTGAGAAAAACTATCGTCATATCATATACAAACAGAAACTTAAAGGTCTTCATAGCAACTCGTCAAAATAAAAGTTTGGTTTAACTTGAAGAAAATTCGTCATATCATATACAAACAGAAACTTAAAGGTCTTCATAGCAACTCGTCAAAATAAAAGTTTGGTTTAACTTGAAAATGTGACAGAAATATATTACTGAATGTAATGATAGTACTACTACTACTAATAAAATTATTATTAAAACATTATTTTCAAGGAAAATTGACCAGAAAAATTTAAACACACAGCACAGTATTTCTGGAAAAAAAGAAATAATTAAAATAATACTAAATTAGTTTTTTTTATAAAATCAATTATTTAGAGATGTTTTTAATTATTAAAGTTTAATGAAACCATTAAAATGGAATCCAGAAAACTAATGGAAAACAGAATTTGGTAAAAAATAAAACTGAATTTGATCAAAAAAAAATTCATAGGGCCCTAAAACTGCAATTTTTGTTAAACTTTTAATAAATTGCTTTTAAATTGTGTAAGTTTCATGATTTCAATTAATTAGACATGCTTTTTGATTAATAAAATTTAATTTAACCATTAAAACAGAGTCAAACAAATTAAAATCCAGAAAAAACAGAATTTTGAAAAATTTCATTTTAATTTTAGTTCAGGTTTTAGTAATTTTGTTATATGCTCTTGTAATTTTTATTAGTTTTTCTCTTTTTTTGTAATTAATATTCTGTTTAGCTTTAATGTATTTTTATTTCGGTTTTAGTTTTAGTAATTTTAGCACTTCAACTTTAACTCATTTATTTCAATTGATGCCAAAGCAACATTCTATTTTTTCTATTTAAGTTTTTCATCTGATATTTAGATTGAATTTTATTTAATTTACGCATCTTGAATAGTTTTTGTTAACAATTAACACTTCCCTAAGTATTAAACTTTGCCGTGTAACTCATCATGGACATTGAATGAGACTTTAACTTATGCCGCATGCTGAGGAGAGTTGTGCTATTACTTTTCTTTGTGATCAGACTTTGATTTTTGACAATAAAATGGATTTAAAAAAGCATTTTCTTCAGAACTTGTAAAAATCTACTTTCTATTCCTACTTATTCTTCGAAAGTTGTATCAGCCTGTTGAGAAACCACTGGCAGGAGGCCTGAAATAACAGTGAACAAGAATGTTTCTTAGTCTCAGATTAAGTTCTGAACTGGCTATATCGTCCAATAAGAAAACTCCATTTACATGAGTTACAAAGGCAGGCTTTTACTGCAGTCCTGGGTGCCGTTTCTCACAGGTTTTGTGTATTGCCTGTGAATATGTTCATGTGTGTGCAGTGGCGCAAAAACCGGGTATGCAGTATATGTAGTGCATAGGGGCGCCGCACATAGGGGGGCGCCATTTTGCTGAAATCATTCTGTGAAATTATTCTTTAATAAAACGCTATAAATAATCAAAAGCTTAGTTGTTAAAAATAATGTAATTAAAAATTTTTTTTTGCGTTTTTAACATTTTTAATTTAATTTAATTTAATTTAGCAGACGCTTTTATCCAAAGCGACTTACAGTGCATTCAGGTTATACATTTTTTTTTACCAGTATGTGTTCCCTGGGAATCGAACACACGACCTATTGCGCTGCTAACGCAATGCTCTACCACTGAGCCACAGGAAAATTTTTCTAAGTTAAAAAATTTACTCTTTACTCCAAAACATTTGAGATGACTAATGCAATTTACTAGTTACATTTTGCACCGCACCTTTTTCTGCAGCAGTTTATTTATGCTATACAAAAGAAGTGAAATCGCCATCTACAGGGCATTGAAGGTACTATATCTTGTGCGTTTTAACCTTACTCACTCAAACTTGTCAATAAGGCTATGACTATAACACATGCAACAACAAATAGGCTAACAAAAATTTAATAAAGGGAACATTTAAAATGGTAACCATATGTAACCATATATCTTTTTTTTTTTCTGTCTATGTTTTCTAAACACTTTAAATGAACTGTAATTGTGTCCATATTTTAACGCTTTATATTCTGCAACTACATTTTGCTCCTCTCATCCTTTCTTTACTTCACAGATTGAACTTCATGCCTCGCCTTTATTTCTATTGTCTCTCTGTTTTTTCTTCCATCTCTGATTTGAATTTCCTGACTGCACACTCATTTCTGTTTTCTAAAAAAATAGATTATACATGTCAACTATAACATAACCAGTGAATGTTAATTTATTTAATGAATTTGAGCATAATAACTAAAGTTTAAATGTTGCCGACTGGCCCACTTTATCTAACACATTCAGCCAAAATAATATTTGTTTAAATTTAGTGATCAACCTTTTAAGTTAGAAATAAAAACACTTATTTCAAAGGGTTTTCTCCCTCTCACCATGAGGCAGTCCTCATTTAAGGTGTTGCCACACCCACCAGTGTCATATTGCATCAAAAAAAGACAATTTTTATGCTCTGAAAGTGTAAACCCATTGAGCACAGTACAGTCAAGCTTAAACGGCCCACTTTATTGCAACTTTGAGGTGTTCAGTTTTGTTTTGATTTTAGAAAATAAACATATGATTGCTGTCCTCACAAATAATCTGTTTCTTGTTTTTCCCTGGCATGTCTCCTAGGTGTTGAGGGACTAGTACACGTTTTTATGAGTAAAATACTCAAGTACTGTTAAAATCAGATACTCTTTAAGACTTTTACTCAAGTCATATTGAAATTGGTGACTTGTAACTTGTAATGGAGTCATTTTCACTGTAAGGTATCTGTACTTTTACTCAAGTATGGTTTTCAAGGTCTCTGTACAGCTCTGTTCATTTCTGAATAACTCTATTGCTCAAAAAAAAAGAAGTCATGATATGTTTGTGAATGGGAGTTTGATTTACATTTGAGAGGAACTGAGAAGATTATTAACGATACAAACAAGCCACCTTTTGCCAACATTTTTAAAATTCAAAATAGGCCATATTTTGTGTAGATCAGATGAGTTTTTTTGGGGGAAAACTCTTGCTACTTCATACTTTGTACAAAACAATGCTTAACTTTGACAAATAAGTCATTTTTAAATGTTATAATAGTGATTTTATAATGTTTAAATATAAACCCAAAAGCAAAACATGTGAAAAGAGCTATATGACAGAGTGGAAATGGTAAATGAGACAATGAATGATCCTCTGCTGCCATCGAGTGGTCATAGTGGGAATATCATGACATTGATTTTAACAGTATTTGTATTTCTACCAGGTGGCAGAACTATTCATGCCTAAGCTAGTTAATGGTATTTTGGTCATTGACTTACAGAAAGTTTTCTGTGGGAGTTAGTGTTAGGGGCTAGAATACAGGGGGGCGCCAACACTGATCTTGCATACCCCTCAGCAAATGCGCAGTTGCGCCCCTGTGTGTGTCAGCGTTGAATATGTCCCTCTGAGCTGTTTTCCTCCAGATCTTTCAGAAGAACCATCTGACTTGCTTGACGTTATTTCTTTTCCTAGTTGCTCTCCTGAAACGGGTCAGTGTCAGTGTCGCCAGCACATGTTTGGCAGGCGCTGCGACCAAGTAGAATCTGGTTTTTACTTCATTGCTCTGGACCACTACACTTATGAAGCAGAGGATGCCAAGTTTGGACCTGTAAGTGTCCTTAATATTCCCATTTGTCAAAGTCCTTGAGTATCTGAATGATATCTGTATATATATATCTCTCTGTCGGTAGGGTGTGACGGTTGTCCCGAGACCCCAGCCTCAGGACAGATCCCCTACTTGGACTGGCATTGGTTTTGTAAACGTTCCTGAAGGTGCCTATCTTGAGTTCAGCATCGACAACATCCCCTACTCTATGGAGTATGACATTATCATCCGATATGAACCTCAGGTGACTTCCTCTACAGTTGTGTCATATTAATCACATAGTATAACACTAGCATTGACATTTGACTTGTATAGCTTAGTAATGTCTAACTAAAGACATGTTTCATCAGCCTTGAGTTAAAGGGTAAGCAGATACTTTTACATCACATCATTACATCATCTGCTTGCTCTTTCATGGTCTGTAGCTGCCAGAGCAGTGGGAAGAAGTGTTGATGACTGTCATCAGGCCTCGTGTCATTACCGCCAACAGCCGCTGTGCAAACACAATGCCCGACGATGACAACCAGGTGGTGTCTCTGCATCCCGGATCCAGGTATGAGAGAAGAAGGACAGACCACCTGATGCACATTACCTTTCATCCAATAATGACACTATAGCTCTGTGCTACCCTACTTCCTACTTAGGCAGTATTTTAAGTAATCATACTGTAGATGTACTCCTTATGCAAAGACTAGAATAAACTAAAACTAAAACTATTAAAACAAATGAAATGAAGCTGAAATTTTAGATGAAAAAGTAAAGTTGAAGCACTAAACTAAGTTGAAAATTGGAAATGTTGTTTTGGCAACTAACTGAACTAAGTTGAAGCACTAAAATTACTAATTGGAAATAAATGAAAACTAAAAATTAACCTAAAAGAAAAAGTACAAGGGAAATAAAACCCAAATACAAAAAAAAAAAAACCTGAGAAAAGCACATAAAAGAATTACTAGAAATTACACTCAAATTAAAATTTTATAAAAGCTACAATAGCATATAAATAATTATTTTTTATCACTATTTTTACAGTCTATAGGGTTCAGGATTTGACCAACCCAAGTCATTATTTATATACTAGTATAATATTTATTAATATTTTGAATTAGCTTTTACTTTTGTATATTCAGTTTTCATTTTAATTTTAGTTTAGGTTTTAGTAATTTTGTCGTTTTTATTATTATTATTTTTTTTTTAAATATTCCTTCATAGCTTTCAATTCAGTTTTTAGTCATTTTAATACTGCAGCTTAACCATATTTATTTCAATTAGTTTCCAAGGCAACATTTCTCATTTTCATTTCAAATTTTTCAAGTTTTAAATTTATTTCTAGTATTTATATATATTAATATTTGAATAAAAAAACGAATAAACTAATACAAATTACAAAAGCACATAACAAAAGTACTAAAAATGTAACTCAAATTAAAAAGCTAATTCAAAATACTACAATATTATATAAATAATACTAAAATAACACTGAAAGGCTGTTGTAGATGGTAGTGGGCAACATTTTGCTCATTTGACCAAATTCCAAGGCAGCATCTCATGTATCCTTTACAGAGAATGTAATCCCAGAATGCATTGCCACAAATCCAGAGAGGTGTTTATTGTAGATATATTTATTGCATTCAAAGCTTAAAAGTAGCAATAAAAAGTAGTTAAGTCTAATAAAAACCCAAGATTTTTTGCTTATTTTATTCTTACTGGAGTGTCTGGCTATTAGCTTAGCAACATGCTAACATAAAATCCCATTGAAGTCAATTGCATGGTGAGTCTATTTGTATGGCACATACTTCCTGCCTATGTAGAGCGCTCAGAATCAGTTATTATGAGATGTCACTTCAGTTAGGATGCTGCCTAGTTAGGTTTTCAGTCAGATGCGATCACATCAGCAAAAGTTAGGTGAAAATTTGCTGGCAAAAAAAGGCCCATTGTATATTGTAGTGTAGTGTAGTGATGTATGAAGCACAGCTCAAAGAGAAGTCACACTCAAACCAAGCAGATTCTGTTGGTCAATGCAGCAAATTCTCGTGAACAACTTGAACTTGTTGCGAAATCTGCATGGGGAAATCTTTCGCCCTCATGCAAAATTGCAGAATGCACCAGTTTCTATTAAAATTTAGAAGTCTGTTCACAAGGTTTCATTAAGCTAATGTCTTTAAGTGTTGAATCTGAGAAAGTGAATTCTCTTGGTTTTGCCCATCAGGTATGTGGTGCTGTCTAGGCCTGTGTGTTTTGAAGAAGGCTTGAACTACACCGTGCGTTTGAGTCTGTCTCGCTACTCGGCTCTCAGTGATGTGCAGTCGCCGTACACGCTCATTGACTCGGTAGGCTTCCTCTTTTACCCTGTCACAGATAGACAATCTCAGTTGCACTGGAATCTTCAAATGCTGAACGGTCGATTTCTATCCTTGCCCTCAGATCGTCCTCATGCCACACTGCAAAAACCTGGATATTTTCTCTGGCTCTGGGTCAGAGGGTGGGGACTTGGTGACTAACAGCGCCTGGGAAACCTTCCAGCGCTACCGCTGTTTGGAGAACAGCCAAGCGGTGGTGAAAACCCCCATGACTGATATCTGCAGAAATTACATCTTCAGCATGTCGGCTCTTCTGCACGAGGGAGTTAAAGGTACATCCATAACTTCTTTATAAATTACCTACCTTCAAATAAAAACATACTTTAAACTTATAAAATGTGTGATGATAATGATGATATGTGTTAAATGATGTTCTTAGTCTTTCCTTCCTATGATGGGGAAGCCCAGACAAATGCTACAAGATTATATGTTGAATTAAATTTCAGAAACAGTTTATTGTGTAACCAAAATGCCAATATCAATCAGGAAACAACAACAACAACAAAAAAAACCTTATACATAGTATGGGACTTTTAATTATAAACAAGCCCGAAATACACTGGGACTTTTATTTTGAAATGCATATACTTTACTATTGCGGGCTGCTCATTCAAAAAGTTGGACAAAACAAAAACTTTATGCATAATGCAGGACTTTCAATTCTAAACAAGCCCAAAATACACCAAGACTCATATTTTGCAATGTTTATTCTTTATTTTTCTACACGCATCTCATTCTAAAAGATGAGGAAGATAAAATATATACACTTACAACCATCTACAACATATTACAGTATAAACACCATAAAGTAAACATTGTCAAAATGCACCAGCTGTAGATCGTAAGCAAT